AGGAAAGATCTGCCAGATGTTAGAGAGACAGCACTGTGCCCCTTGCTCCCAGATAGGCTGGGCTCTCAGAAGGAAGCTTTGCCTTATTGCTTGGCATTGTTTGTTATCTTGTTGAAGACACACAAAAGAAGGAGAAAAGGAATTGGTAGGTATTGAAAACACTTAGTGTCACAGCAGCAGGATTTTGTTGCTGGGTGAGAAGCTAAAGGAGCTTGGAGTCCTCTGCAGCAGATGCGAGGTGTTGGGGTTTTAGGACCAGCCCCGAACACCTCACCCTGGCTTTGGCAGGAGGCATTTGTCAGCCCAATCATCAGCTGCACTGCTACAAAACGCATGAGGAATGGGAACCTTTTCTGGTTGGCTCTGCAGAGGGCATCAAAGATGATTGTTCTCCTTGCACAGCCTTTTGAGGATACCGTTAGTCAGCTGAGAAAATAGTTTATACTATTTTATAATAGTTTTCTGACAGATCACTGGTCTCCTACTTCATTATCCTCACTGCTACAGCACGGAATGTGTTGTTAGATTTCAGAGTCTGTTTTTGATACGAAACTGCTGTTTGTTCAGCAAAGGCCTCCTCGGCCTCCAGGCAGAGGGGAGCTGACAAAAGCAGGTTTTGAGCAGGACAGTTCCCTATCTCCTCAAGGTAAAAACAGAGCCAGGGTGGAAGTTGTGCTTCAGTTCCTGCTCTGAGATGCCAGGATGTGCTTTGTGCAAGCTGGGATGTTTCTTGGCACCACTTTCCCCTCATATGTCTGGTGGCTGTCTCAGGTTTGCATGTCCTGTAGTGGTGAACCATGGTGGTTTCTGCCTGGGGCCAGCTGGTCCGCCCAGGGCTGTGCTCTGCCCGTGCCAGGTGCATCCTCGGTGCTTTGAGAAAAGAATCGCCTGGGAAGTTGTAGTGCAATGAAACTTGAGTTTGCCTGCTGTCCCACTGAGTCCTCGGCTCATTTCCCAGCTGGAAGTTTTAGGCCTGGCCAGGGAGAGTTCTGGAGTTCTGCAGACCTAACCCAAGAAGACTAGAGATGTTTGACCAGGATTTCACAGTGGCTCTCTGTCAGTCAGTGGGCTGGTTTTCACAAGCACAGATCACAAGAGAAAAGCAAAACTAAGAAAGGTTCAACTTGAACCTTGAGTTTGTCCTTGCTTTTGTGTGTGGCAACACATAACGGTGCACTAGGTGGGCAGACCACCTCTTTCCTTCTGTGAAAGAAATAGCAAAGTGACTCTAGGCCCTTTGAGGGTGAGTCATGGAAAGCAGAGAAGGAACCCAGGCATGGGAGCTGCCCCAAACTGAAAATCCCAGAGAGGAAAATAGTTTTGTTGCTTACTAAATCCTTGAACTCACTTTTAAAGCAGTGCTGCGTTCCTGTGAAATGAAAGAGTCTTTGGTATCATTTCCTTTCCCAATTAGAGCCAGCCAGCAGTGAAGCTTTGTTCTCCCAACATTTTGCAGGTAAAATGAGCTCAATTTTAGTGATGTCATGTCAGTGAACACTCTCTGGCTCTTCCTCATAGGGTGACAAAACCTCCGTGTTAATGAGGTGCTGTGTGTGCTGTGATACCACTTTTCATCCACGCAGCTGAAAAGACTTGGTAGATGTTGGTTTAGGTTTTACAAACCCCAGAAGCTGGAGGAGCTTTTCATGAAGGTGGGCTGAGCTGCTCCCAGGGAGGGGGTGAGACATGAGATGATGTCCTCCTGGATGAGAGCCACTGAGAAAGCCCATGTCTTCTGCTGCAGCTCCTGCAAGGGCTAACTGTGCCACTGGACAGGGTTGCTTTTTTGGAGAGGAAGATTTCAGGGAAACCAGAGGCCTGAGCTGGTCCCTGTCCATAGCTGCTGAGCCAGCTCAAGGGTGCCAGGGTACCTTGGGGCATTACAGGGCACTGGGACCCCCATCACCAAGAGATGGGCAAACCCATCACTGTCTAGAGGATCACTTTTTAGCTACTTCACCTTGACCATACTTGTGAGTGCTCTGGACCATATGTCCAGGACTGGAGTCTCTTCAGCTTCACACCAACAAGGGAGAATCATATTTTAGGAGTAGAATTTTTTACTTGAGCATTACATGGACTGTCCCTTCTGGATACACCAAGACACTAAATTTTTCGAGGCAAGGTGAGGAAGGAAGATTTTCTCATTGATAAAGCCGAAGGCAGGATTTAATTTGATCCTGTAGTGTGTTTTATTTTTTCATCTCAATTTGTATGGATTAGCACTTAAAAGAAAAATCACTTTTAGTCTGACAGCTTAAGAGTAAAATCCCTGAAAGCCTATTGTTTTACTTCTAATGGAATTCTGTAGGATCTGTTGGCTTCTGACATCAGTTTATTACACTCATTTTCCTATTTGCTTGTTGTGGTTTTACCCCAGCCAGCAGGAAAGCACCATGCAGCCTCTCACTTGCTCCCCACCAGGGTGGGGAGGGGAGGAGAACTGAAAACAAGTAAAACTTCGGGGTTGAGATAAGAACAGTTTAATAATTGAAAGAAAAATAAAATATAATAGTAATAATTGTCATGAAAGGAAGATAAGAAAGAGAGAGAGGAATAAAAGCCAAGAAAGACAAGTGATGCATGGAGCAGTTGCTCATCACTCACTGACAGGTGCTCAGCCATTCCCCCAGCAGTGATCAGCCCCTCCCAGCCAGCTCCCCCAGTTTCTGTACTGGGCATGATGTCCTATGGTGTGGACTGTCGCTTTGGCCAGTTTGGGTCAGCTGTCCTGGCTGTGTCCCCTCCCAACTTCTTGTGCCCCTCCAGCCTTCTTGATAGCAGGGCATGAGAAGCTGAAAAGTCTTTGACTTAGTGTAAACACCTACTTAGCAACAGCTAAAAACACCTGTGTTAACAAAATTATTCTCATGCTAAATCCAAAACCTGTCCTTATACCAGCTACTAGGAAGAAAATTAACTCTGTCCCAGCCGAAACCAGGACATTGCTAAAGCAATATAGAGTATAATGGCCTGTCAACATCTTTCTTTTTTGTAAATCCCTGTTCTCTGGGGTTTAGAATGTGATTAAATTAGTTCCAGGAAAACATTTGGTATGCAACGCTTGAGGTTAAGAGAAATTTGTTTATTAAAGCTTTGGCTGCAATTGTTTTAGCTGCGATTGAACGGAACTGTTTGTGGGAAGGCAGGCTGTGAGGAGGGGCAGGGCTCTGCCACCTGCAGCCCTGTTCCCACCTCCGCCCAAGCCATGCTGCCCAAAGAGCACATCCCACTCGCCTGGTTCTGTGACCAGGGAGACTAGGGCATGGTGGCCCCCAGGACCTGGTGGGTGATTAAAGCTGCTGGGTCTCCCTGAGAGACCGGGGAATGGCAACAGGCAGCAAACAGAGGTTGTCTGAGCTTTAGCAAGCCATGTAATATTGGGTGGTTCAATCTAAAAAACCCCATTAGCCCAACTTGTCCCACTCCTGTTCAGAAAGACACATGTCTTGAAACACTGCCCAGGGCAGTGAAACAATCCATTAAGGGATTGCATTTATGTCTGTATGTGTTGTCTCACTTTTCTACTTGGAGATTCACAGGGCAGAGGGAAGAGAGGAGGAATACTCCCTTGCATTTTCTTGGTTGCCATTGGTGGCATCTAGTTTTTGTGATTCTCAAATCATACTGATGGCTCTCAACTTTCTCCAGACTCAGCATAATGGTGGTTTCTCCTAACTGCACGAGGAGGGCATAGATAGCATGCATGGGAAGAGTAGGAAAAGGTGAGGTGATGGATGGCACATGTGATGGTGCAGCTTTGAGATGGTGCTAAGCATCAACAGCAAGGCCATGGCAGTCCTCTTGGAAGGCTGCATCTGAGCAAGAACTGTGTAGCAGCCAAACAGTTTTCCAAAATGCCCACAGGTTTATCAGTTTCTAGTATGAGAATCAAGGTATTTTCCTCCTTTTTCTGTACCTTCCTTTTCTGTTCTTGGCCAGGTCTAAAAAGTTTCAGTCCTTCATTGAGAGCTGCCTAGTGAAGAACCACAGCCAGAGACCAACCACGGAGCAGCTGATGAAGCACCCCTTCATCCGAGATCAGCCCAACGAGAGGCAGGTCCGCATCCAGCTCAAGGACCACATCGACAGGACTAAAAAGAAGCGAGGCGAGAAAGGTTGGTGGAGCAGCAGCACTCGGGGCAGTCCTTGTCCTCTGCCAGGTCCTTGGAGATCCCAAGCATAGACCAAGGCACGTCGGTTCGAGCGGAGCATTTGGGTAGAAGGAGGAAGGCAAAGAGGATTGTGTTGCTCGTGGTCTCAGTGCCAGTTTCCCATATTCAGATGGCCAACTTTGTTCACAAACTGGTTGAGTTAAATAGTTGTGGTCCTTCCCCTGCTCTGCCCTAGGGAGGCCACCTCTGGAGTACTGTGTCCAGTTCTGGGCTCCTCAGTTCAAGAGAGACGAGCTACTGGAGAGAGTCCAGCAGAGGCTCTGGTGATGCTGAGCGGGCTGGAGCATCTCTCTGATGAAAGGCTGAGAGCTCTGGGGCTGTGCAGCCCAGAGGAGAGAAGACTCAGAGGGGATCTGGCCAGTGCTAAAGGGCAGGGGTCAGGAGGATGGGGCGAGGCTCTTGTCAGTGGTGCCCAGCAACAGGACAAGGGGCAACAGGCACAAATTGGAACCCAGGGGGAACATGAGGAAAAACTTCTTTCCCTGTGAGGGTGGCAGAGCCCAGAGCAGGCTGCCCAGAGAGGCTGTGGAGTCTCCTTCTCTGGAGAGATTTAAACCCACCTGGATGTGATCCTGGGCAACCTGCTCTGGGTTACCCTGCTTTAGTAGAGGGGTTTGACTAGGTGATCTCCAGAAGTCCCTTCCAACCCCTACTGTGCTGTGTTTCTGCGTGACCACGCTTCTTATGGTTTTGAGGTCAGATTATTTTGTTTGATTTGATTCCTCTCAGTCATTGAAATGAAAATAAACATCCATAACCAAGCCATTGCTGCTCATACAAAGCCTACAGGTAACTGTCACTAGAGATAATCACTGTTTTTCAATGTTTTTTTTTTCCTCCTGATGAAAAACGGTGTCTTTTTTTTTTTGGTCCAGGTGGTAATTTCCACGTGGAACATTTAAGCTTTGATTCATTAAAATGTGTGTGCAAAATTCAAGTCTCCATATATACATACTGGCATGTGGGAGGGTGAAGCTGCTAAGCTGAATTTTTCCCAGCTCACATATTTCATGCCAAGTCTTTTGATCTATGTGACATTCATCCTGCACCAGTGATGAGCAGAGTTTGTGCAAACCAATATCTAGATAATGCTCTTGCCCCAGAGCGATTCCGTTGACTAGGAGTAACCCATTAAACTGGATGTTTTCAGTGAACTCTCCAGGCCCTACCAAAGTCCTCTGAAAGGAAGATCAGATAGTTGGAGAAACTTGATAAAGTATTCAGCTGCTTGTGAACTGAATTTGAATTTGAAAGCTCATTTGTAGAATCCAGTAAATTAATATGTCACTATTTCTCCTCTGATTGGTAGGAGTATTAATTTTTCATGCGTACCTTCAAGCCCCTTGTAATAGATTTCGCTACAATCAAAACAATAAGATGGGATCCCAGTGAAGTATTAAACATGTTTAGTCTTGCAAATGGAGGTTGGACCCTAGAGATGGAGAGTAATTGGATAAATGCAAGCCTTTCTTTTACTATCGTTCCCTTCATCCAATAAAGATTATATCCCAGTAGAAATCACAGCGTGTAGCACAACACTGCAGTTGGGCTTTTACATGGATATCTTCATTGCCTGGAAAATATATGGAGTTGCATAGGAAGAGCATATGTTGAGGGAGAGAGGAGCTGCTGCCTTCACAACCATAGTTAAATCCCACCTTCCAGTGCCTGTGGCTTCAACAGCTTGTGGTGCACCTCTGTTTGAAGAACCTTCCTGAAGAAGGGGGTCATTCACTGTCTTCGATATATATGGGCGTAAATTCCTATTTTATGGCAACCTCCCATCTTTACATTGGGTATCTGGTTGCTGGGGCCAGTGCCCACTGTGTTGGTGTTCTCCAGCTGGGTCTGCAGCCCTCTTTCCAGCCAGCATCTGAGGTGCCAGCACCCAAGGAGACCACCCACACTTCCCTGGCCTTGCTGCTCCTCATAAAAACAGAAAATGCAGAGAAATAGTGCTGCTTATTCTTTGCCATGTGAGAAAAAGAGAGTTGTCTGCTCTGCCTTCAGAGCCCTGGGGTTTTCAACCACTGGAAAAACAAATGAGTCCAGCAAAGGGCACTGATGAGCAATCCTGTTCCTAGATGAGACGGAGTACGAGTACAGTGGAAGTGAGGAGGAGGAGGAGGAAAATGACTCTGGAGAGCCCAGGTAAGAATCAGCATTTAATTTCTGCCCTTACATCTCTTTAACTCTGTATAAAATCAGCTTGGATGACAGGCTCATGTGAATCAGAAATGGAAAAAGGATAGCTGGAGTGCTCAGCCCTGTTCCCTGGCAGAACAGAGTATATTCCCTCTGTTAGATGGTGCGTGGATATAAACTGATGCCGTGGCTCACCTTGGCCAAAAGCTGGGGAAGAAAGACCCAACGCCCCATTGCCTGTGGGATTTGCAGTGCATTGTGGTGCTGTCACAGGAATGTGGAAAACATGTGAGGTGAAAGGAAAGCAGACTCTTTAAAATGTGATTTCTTGCATCCAAGCGTATCTCCCTATTTCCATTAACTTTTCTCCATGAAACCTCCCCGGTGCCGCTGCAAGCCTGGTAGAGCTGGAACTGTCTTTGGTGACATTTTTCAGAGCCATTGTAATTAGTATCAAGTTATTCCATTATTTCACTGAGATAATGTAGTATTTTAATAGCTGGCAATGATTCATGCTAAATGTGCTTTGTGAACAGCTAAATATAGTGTGTGCCGCTGCAGCACGGGAGGCTTTGATTAGAAACTGAATGTAAAGGAACCTTTTGGCAAATAAATTACTGGTGAGCCCTGGGCAAAGGGTTAGGTTTAGGGTTACGGTGTGTCTGCTGCCCTGCCCTGCATGTTGCAGTCCCCCCATCCCTCCATCCACTGCTGCCCAAGCTGTCGGGTGCTGGGATGCTGCTGGGATGAAGGGGAGAGGAGCCGTGCTGGAAAACCACACCCAGTCCCCCCGGCACGAGGTTTAAGGACATGAGGAGGGGGTGTCCTCTGACGCTTCTCTCCTGGGCAGCTCCATCCTAAACCTGCCCGGGGAGTCGACGCTGAGACGGGATTTCCTGAGGCTGCAGCTGGCGAACAAGGAGCGGTCGGAGGCGCTGCGCCGGCAGCAGCTGGAGCAGCAGCAGCGGGAGAACGAGGAGCACAAACGGCAGCTCCTGGCCGAGCGGCAGAAGCGCATTGAGGAGCAGAAGGAGCAGAGGAGAAGGCTGGAGGAGGTAACTGCCCGGAGCTGATGGGCCAGCAGAGGCCGTTTCCAGGTGGACTTCTGGCAGCAGGTCCCGAGGGACTGCTCTCGGCCTGGTTTGAGATCCTGTGCTAACCTCATGAGTTGGTAACCCCAAATGTTCTGTTACACTGGCGTCCACCCGCCCCGCTCATCCTTTCTGCACGCCCGCCCCCAGCCACTCTCCTCACCACAGTAGGTGTTGCCCACTCCTGTGAAGGTAATAGAGCTGGTTTGCTATAAATAAACTCTTGAAATGCCCAACTTAAAGGGATCCCTGGAACTACTGAGCAGAGTTAGCCCACTAGTGGTGTGATAGCTGTATTCCATTGTGACTGGTCCAGACGTTTGGCAAGTCCATTGTTGTTATTTGACTGTCACAGCTGAGAAGAAGCTAAAAAACTCCATTTGCCCTTTCCCCAGATCCATTGGTCCCTTTTGATCCCTAATTTCAACTCCAGTCCTTCCAGTCCCTGCCAATTACAGTTTCTCTTGCAGGGGAGGGGCAGATGCCTGCCTGACTTGTGCAATGATCCCTATGTGCTCCGAAGCATAAGATTTCATTACCCTTGTCTTAACATACCAGCTACAAATGTGACCAGTCATAAAATTATCCACCCCATTTAAAATCCAGCTTCAGGATTTGACGGGGTGACTTGGGGTGTCCCTGTGCTGCTCAGTGTAGCCATGTACTCTGCAGGAAGTGCTTGCTTTTTGGTTAGCTCCTGGTTCTTGGCTTGCAGAGATCCACCACAAAATAAGCAAGTTTTTCCTCTGCTCTGGGATTTTTTGATGGGGTTTTGTACAAAGACACCCATTGCCTGGCACTGAACTCATCCCAAGGGTCTGATTGAAGAGTTCATACATTGAGGATAATTCAGTTAGCTTTCTGAAGAGGTCACCAGTATGTCTGAAAAAAGGACTTGCAGTAAATGGACTAATAGAGCAGCCACCCCCTTAACTTGCATGAGACAGAGCGTCTGTTGCTTTTAACCTGACTCTCCCTGCCCTGGATAATGCCCCCAGGCCAGGTGCACAGGCAGGAAGGAATTTCAGGCAGCTGATGGTGATGATGATGATACAGCCCCTCTTGAAGGTGGTCGTCTGAGCCCCCTCGGAGCAAAAACCAACGGGGCAAATCCCAGGCAAAGCATTTTCTCAGTCTGGTAGATATGTAGGTCTATCGTGTTGTCAGAGCGTCACATGTTCAATACATTGTAGGTCAGGCTCTGCTTCTGTCCTCCACCCTTCCCAAAGCTGGCCAGCAGCTCTGAGAGAGGACAAGGCTTGCACCTCAATGCACTTTGAGGTTCCCTGCCCTAATGGATGTTCATCTGGGGACTGGCTCTGCCTTTGTCCCAGTCCGCTTGCTGCAAGCGGTACAGGAGCAGAACAACGGCACAATAAAAGCAGACAGCAGATTAGCTGCAATCCAGTAATGAATACAATGCTTGCTGCTGTATTAATACGTTCTCTTCACGTAGAAAGGAATTGTTCCCCCTCCTTGCTGCTTCCCAGGCAGGTTTTGAATGGAGGACTAATCCCCTTGCTAAGCTGGCGAGCTCTGCCCAGAGCTATGAGACTCTGCTCGTTCCCCCCATTCTTTCCCCCAGATCATTAAAAGCTAATGTCACCGTAGCCAGGATTTAAAATCAATGCCTGTGTTTTTGGTGGCTCTAACAGGCCCCCTGGGCTCTTTACCCATTGCCTTCTTCCCAGCTGTCAATTTTTGGACCCAGATTGAAAGGGAGGTATCTGCTGGAGCAAAGCCAGCAAAGAGGCATTTTCATGCTCTTGCCATATCAGAGAAGTGGGGACAGACAGTGGGACTGTAACCGAGGGGCATCCTCTGCCTACCATGGGTGTGATCAGCCCTTGGGGCTTAACCAGCATTAGGGCAGAGCAGGCAGCTGTGGTGGCTCCAGCATCTTCTCAGGTGCCCATCTCCTTGGGTCTGTCTGGTCAGGTTTACCATCAGCTGCATCTCCAGCCATGGACTAAAATGAGCTCTCCTTTCTATTAGACACTGTTCGTGTGGAGAGCAAGAAGCACAGCCAAGTTGCTATGGTGAGGATTAAAGCAGGAGTCCTTGAAGAGGTGCAAACCTTCTGTTGCAAGCACAGAAGTGGTTAGGAGGGATACTCCCCAGCGTGCCTGCAAGGTGTTATGTCTCTGCCTTGGGCTGCTGAAGGAAAACCAGAAACCCAGTAGAGGTGTCATCGCTTCTGCAGGGAGTGGAGTAGAGGAGCCACACAGCAGTTTTGAGCATCCTCCCCTTGAGCTTCCTGCTCATCAAGAGTCCCAGTGTCCATCCTGGGGAGTGATGCTGCTTCTGCCCAGGGACACGGGGAGGGGTTTGTATCCCTGGGCTGTCCCACTACGTCTGGCACAGCCAGACAGTGGTGGATGTAGCTTGGTCTTTCTTCTTCTCAGATCTTTTGGGGTAGGAAGCCTCTGATAACCAGGCAGAGGTGCCAAAGAGCAGCTGTCACAGCTGTGCCAGTTTGGTACTGCTGCCCAAGGCACCCAGCACCCTCCACCCATGTCACAGCAGTGACTCAAACCCTTCAGCAGCAGTCAGGCTCTTGCCTTTTGGTCTCTGCTTCTCCTTACTCCACTTTTGCACTAACTTCAGTTGTTGGTTCTTGGCTCTGGATTTATTTTGGTCAATCAAAACAAGATTTCTTCTATGCTGCTTTATAGTCTGACTAAGACAGGGTGTGCCTCCAGTAGCCAGCACTGTACCAGCAGATCTCTGGGAGGAGAAACCAGTGGGAAGCTCAGATTATTGTATTTTCAAAATAAACTTGACCTTTAAAACCCAATAGAGCTTATGGGACAAAAACATTCAGAGTGGTGGCTTTTGGGGCTCTTAAGTCCTGTTTCGGTGTTTGTAGAAAGATCTCCTACTCATCATAAGATGCCATGAAGGTGGCCAGGCTGAGTGAGCTCATCAGCTGGGTCCAAGTGCAGCACCAGAAGGATTGACTTTGGAGGATACCAAGGTCAAATATGCCTGGAGTTAATTTGTACTGGAGATGCACGGCAAAAAAGCTGGAGGAAGGCCTGTTAGTGGGATAATTGGTCCATTCCTCTGTCAGTACAGACCTTCAGTAGATTTTTTTTTTTATTTGTGGTTTTTCAATCTTGTCTGTAAACTCTGCCAGGGATAGAGCTCCTACCATGTCTGTTTCCTCACCCAAAATGAAGGAATCCCATTTTTCTGCCATCTTGGATCTTCAAAAACCAGGATTTCTGAACCTCTCACAAAATGCCTGTCATTTTAGGTTCTTTTTGGGGAAACCCACCATCTCATAACCTTGCTCCAACAATAACATCAAATGTGTATACCAAAATGTCAAGTGAGGAAGTCTTCTAGTGGTTTCTTGATGTATTTCCTGTTGTCCACTGAGACCTGCTGCACCCGAACTAGCCCTGCAAAACCTCTCAAATTAGAGAATGAAATAGCAGTAGATCAAATAGCACTAAGGAAGTGAATAGGCTTGGATGTATTTTAATTTTTCCCTGTATATACATATATTAGATATGTTTAGTTCCCTAATAAGCCCTCCTTTTGTTGCTGTCACAGAGTGAGCCTTGCTGCACCAGTTTAACCACCAAAACTCCAGCTGAGCTCTAGGAATAGCACATCCCCCAGTCAGGAGCCTCAGGAATCCTGCGAGACAAATCTCTGCAGACCCCTTGGCAGCAGTGGGCAGATGCAGTCAGGGAGGGCTTTGCATAATCTCATTTCTCTTCCCTATTGTGGATTTTTTTCCTTTCTAGGTATAAAATGAAGGTCAGACCTTTACAGGGAAAGTACAAGGCAAATCTCAGTGTCTTGGTGTTTGCATGTGAGGTTCATTCAGCACAGTGTATAGAGCTGGATGTTCAGAGGATAAAAGATTGCTGCAGCTCCTTTATGTTAACCATCAGAAGACCATCTACTGGAAGCTTTTATAAAGCAAAGCAAAGAAATTCCAGCAGTTAATTATAGATAAACTTAGGTTAACTAGAACAATGTTTGTTATTTTCTTCTGTATGTGCAGGTGCCATAGGGCTTGTCGGAACACTTTCATTAAGATGACAGCCTCCTTACAGTACTGTGGGTACATGGCAGCACTGCAGTGCTCCCAGCAGTAGTCCCTTACCCATTTCCAAGGAGAGCTGCATTACAGCAGCTCCTGTAGTACAGATATGTGCTAAGCCTTGCACATTTCTGGTTCTTCTTTGGTTAGAAAGCAGGTAGAACTCATAGTTTATGAAGCATCTCTTGTGAAGCTAGTTTATGAGCATCTCTTCATGATGATCCTGACTAAAAGCTCCTGCAATGGTTCAGAGCTTATCAGAGCCGTGTCTGCCATGGTGGGAGGTTCTGACCCAGTTACTCTACCATTGGGAAACACCTCTCCATGCTCCAGCACTTGTTGTGTCAGGAAAGATGATGTTCCAGCCACAGCCGCTCTCTCCGTGGTGGCTCAGATAAACGAGCCTGTCACAACAACGCAACCACCTAGAATATTTGTTTTCATTTGTCACTCAGAATTCCCTTTCTGCTCCTTTTCTGGCTCACGCTTGTGTTTGGGAGCCACAGCCACAGTTTCCAGGAGCCCTTTCTTGCAAGCGTTGGTGCCCCTCCGAGCGTGCCGGGTTTGTGGGGTGGCTCGCTGCTGATCGCTGGTCGTCGTGGATGCATCTCCTCTAGCAAAGGGAGCCTGCTCCTTTGAAGTCCTTGTTCAACGCCAGGCCTCCAGGGGCCTTCCCACCAGAGGTTTTGCCTTGGTGTGTCTTTCCTTATCAATATTTAAAACCTGTCATTTCTAGTGCAGTGCAAATAAGGCCCAGTTTGGGCTTACAAGCAGCTCCATATAGCTGTACCTGCAGAGTTATATAAATGCAGTCCTAATTAATTGGCGCTCTTGCCTTGCATGAATAATAGATCTGGATAGTGTAAATACACACAGTAGTTTCAGGCTTGGAGAAACGTGGGAAGTATGCATTCACTGTGGGAGAGGAAGGACAGAAAACAGAAAGAAAAGGAGGCAACTAAAGAGAGAGAGATATCTTTGAATCTTTCCCCTTTTATATTTTTCCCCCTCTCCACGTGCAGTTTTCCACTGCATCTTGCTCGGCTCAGTCTGTACTTTGAACAGGATCCCCGTCATCCTGGTGCTGCTCAGCACCGTCGTCGTGGGAGGTCAAGGAGAGATGTGGGCACTGCCGGAGGCTCGGCCCGCTGCAGTGCCAGGTCCTCTCCAGCTGTGTGCCAGCTGCATGAGGCAGGCAGCCCAGCGTGCTGGGGGCTGTGCCGCCAGAGGTGCCCGTGATGCCACCGTGACAAATGACTCACTTATAATGTGACCTGACAAAAGCACTGTGGAGCTGGAGGGAAGCGCTGTGCTCCTGGCCTGGGTAAGGAGCTACTGTACGTGTTGATCCTGCTCACAGCCTCAGAGAGCCCGGCTGCGGCAGGGCGATGAGGCCCTTTAAATATCCCGGAGAGCATCAGGCCTGGCTTGGGAAGAAAGCTATGCCTTCAGGGCTCGATTCCCAGCTCCTGGGGTTAAATAGGCTTTTTGGTGTGGAGGAGGCTGGTGGTTGCATGCTGCATTATAGGAGAGAGGCCACGGGGGGGGGGGGGGGGGGTGGTACCCTGGCAGGATGGTGGTACCCTGCTCCCTCCTTGGGAAAAATTATTTTAATTCCTTTCTTGGAGGGGTTTGGCTTTGTTCAGCTGCTGGATTGAAAATTGAGTCCAGTTGAGTAGGTTTTACTTAAGAAATAGCTGTGGCATTCAGGACCTTGCCTCCTGCCAGCCAAGCCCAGCCTACACAAGCATTATGTGCTTTATTCAGCAGCGTGCTATTTTAACTAAAAAACCCACCCCATTAAAACCCACCCCAAAGCCAGTATGAACACACTGTGACTGAAGCTCAGAGAAATGTGTATTCAACCCATTAATCAAAAGACCCATGTTGCTGAGTGCACAGGAGCAGGGAGGTGATTCTCCCCCTGTGCTTGACACTCATGAAACCACACCTTGAGTACTGTGTCCAGTTTTGGGCACCACAGGATAAGAGGGATGTGGAGGTGCTGGAGCAGGTTCAGAGAAGGGCAACGAGGCTGATGATAGGGCTGGAAAACATGCGTTGTGAAGACTGGCTGAGGGAAATGGGGTTGCTTAGTCTAGAGGAGACTGAGAGGTGACCTTAATGCTCTCTACAACTACCTGAAAGAAGATTGTAGTGAGGCTGGTGTTGGTCTCTTCTCCCAGATTACTGCCAGGGGAAGTTTCAGTTAGATATTAGGATTAATTTATTCACTGAGAGAGTGATGAGGCACTGGAATGGGCTGGCCAGGCAGGTGGTGAAGTCATCATTGCTGGAGGTGTTCCAAAAGTGAGTAGATGAGGCACTTGAGGCCATGGTCTAGTGGTTAGGGAGATGTTGGGATGAAGGTTGCGCTTGATGATCCTGGAGGTCATTTCCAACCATAGCGATTCTACAATTCAATTCTATGATCTGAGGAGGTCAGGGCGTGCTGGCAAAGCCAAGAAATCCGTGTGTTCCTGTCACTGGGGCAGTCCCCATATCCTGGTGCTGTATCTTCTGCGATTCCTCAGGTAGAGAAAAAAGTTCCAGACAGCCCCAGGGTCGTGTTGTGCTCGGAGGAACCCACACACCACAGGCTGGAGCTGGCAGGTTGTTCAGGTTGGATGGGATTTTCCTCCCCCGAGGGATGGAGCAGCCCTGGGAAATGCAGCTGTAGGTGGCACTGAAGCTGTGCTGCTGCTCGGACTGAGCTGGAGCTGGAGCTGGAGGAGATGCAGAGTCCCTGTGCAGGGTGGCTGTGGATGTCTCGGAGAGGGGGTGAGGAGGTGACAGCAGGACGGGCGGGGACTCCTCCCTCTATTCAAATGTGGGAATGTCTTTACATAGTTGTTAAAATATCTCTATATCTATTTATAGATGTATCTATCTTTAAGTATCTATCTATAAAGATGTCTATAGATCTCTATGTCTGGAGACACAGAGAGAGATACAGAGATGTATAATTGAATATATAGAGAATAGACTATAGAATAGATATAGAATAGAAACATCAATAAAACTATAATATCTATAAAATATATAATAGATATCTATCATAGAATTATAATATGTCTAGTAGATATCAGTAATAGATACTGTACAATTATGTCTCTAAAAGATATCCCTAACAGATCTCTATCTTAGAATTTTAATATCTCTTATAGATATCCCAAATATGTCTCCATCTTAGAATTACAGTATCTCCAATAGATACCTCTAATAGTTCTCTTAGAATTACAATATTTCTAATAGATATCTCTCATATAACTCTATCTTAGAATGACTTTCTCTAATAGGTGTCTAATAGAATAATCTATGCTATGTCTATTATATCAATATATCTACTATATATCTATTAGAGATAGATCTATATAGTATCTATAACATCTATGTAACATCTCTAGATATATAGATTATCTTCTAGGTATTAGAAGTACATATATTAGAGACAGATCTATTGTATTACGTACCTCTTCTAGAGATAGATCTGTATAATATCTGTAACATATGTGTGATCTCTCTATAGTTACCTCTAATATTGATAGACACCTGTATCAACAACGTCTCAGTCGGTACCTATTTATCGATAGATACCCCTCTAGCCAGACCTAAGCCTCCAAACCCCGTGTACTGCCATGCAGATGTCCTGCAGCGCAGCGGTTCCAGGCGGGTGCCTCTTTGAGGATGGCCGAGCTGCTCGGTCAGTGCTGCTGGAGGCAGCCCACCCCTCCAGCTATGGTCTGACCAGTCGATGGCTGCTGGTGCTGGAAGAGACCCAAAAAAAGGGAGAAGGGCCTGGGTTTCTGCTTCGGCCCGTGTGGCTGCGCCTGGTGATGCAGCAGCGATGGATTTCTGGCAAGCTGCAGAGCCCAGTAGCCACCGTTGGCTTCTGAGTGCCCTGTGCCGATGTGCTGGCTGTGGCCCCTCTGCTCCTGTGGCCGAGAGTTGCGGCAGCTTGCTGCGAGCCCCTGCTCCCCGGGATGGAAGATGGGGTGGCAGGGGTAGCTGGGAGGGTTCGAAGCCATAGGTGTGCAGGCTGCGGTGTCAGCTGGGGTGCCGGCACACCCCGGGTGGCTCACAGCAGGCTGGAGGTCATCGCCACCCCAAAATGCCTGGGCCCTCTGTCAGCATGGGCACTGCGGAGCAGGGTGGGGCTGCGACCCCGCGGGGAGGAGCCTGGGGGCAGCAGAGGAGCCTCCTTGCACCCCGCTCAGTTTGTGTTTTGGAAAGGAAAATGCTTTGGATTTGGGGTTTTCTGTGTTAGCTCCTGGTCTCAGCAAATGTCCGGAGGGTTGTGTTCCCCTCTGGGCAGGCAGTAGCTCCCCCGGGACCGTGCGCTGGCCACGTGGCTTCACCTCCAACTGGGAGAAGAAGCGGGGTCCAGTCTTGGCTGGGGAGGTGCTGGGGGTTCTCCGTAGCTGGTGCTGGGCACCAGAGCGTGTGAGGGTGGGTTGGGATCTACAGGTCCCTCTACTACCCCGAGTGGACCTGCCTGCAGGCAAGGCATCTCCCCAGGCGGGCCAGAGCACCATGGGCCGTGGGGCAAGGTGGGAGAACAAGGACTCGGAGGTCCCGGGGAGGGGAGCAGGGGTGCTGACCTGTGCCTCCTGCCCCCCACAGCAGCAGAGGCGGGAGAAGGAGCTGCGGAAGCAGCAGGAACGGGAGCAGCGGCGGCACTACGAGGAGCAGATACGGCGGGAAGAGGAGCGGCGGCGTGCGGAGCACGAGCAGGTAGCCCTGCTGAGCCCCTGCAGCGGAGATTCCTCTTCCTCTAATCAGAGGTTTTCTCATAATCACGCATATTTTTTGCTACTTGAGAGCAAATGGCTTAATTGTGGACACAGCGTGTGTCTCTTCGTGCTGCCGTGGTTATTTCCATGTGGATCCACTTGCTGGCCCGCAGGCAGGGAGACACTTGATGTCAGTTTTTCCTACCCCCTGCTCCCGGGGCGGTGTTTTGGGGTGTTCTCTATGTTTGCCATTTCCTTCTAGTGTGGTGGGGACAGAGGGTGCCTGGCCTGATTGATCAGTGCTGACTCTCGGGTGGGGTGGGTGCGAGTGCCCACCTCATTTTCCTTCCTCTTGGGAAATGCTGGCTCTTTTCACCTGCTCTCTCTCTTTTTCTTTTGATCCTTGCTGCCCGTGCCTCCAGGAGTACATCAGGCGACAGTTAGAGGAGGAGCAGAGACAGTTAGAGATCCTGCAGCAGCAGTTGTTGCAGGAGCAAGCACTACTTCTGGTAAATGGGAGGCCCCACGCTTGCCACGTTCTGCCCATGTTGCGCCCGCATGTGCCCGTGTCCCCCAGGTGCCTCCTGCCAGGCGGGACGGGGAGGGGGACGCCGCTGTCACCGCTGGACCTGGAGCATCCTGTCCCCTCGAGCATGCCTCAACTCCCCCCCGCCGCACCAGGGTCCCCTCACCATGCATGGCTCTCTTGGCATCCCCTCCCTTGCTGCACTTCGCAGCCCCCCTGCCATGCAGGCTTGCACATTCCCAGCAGAGGCTTCTGGTTTGTTTTCCTCATTGGAACACTCTATGTTCCCTCTTGCACTGTTTGCATTCTAGGTGTCTTCTTTTTTAATTTAATTTGGTTTTGAGTTATCCTTTTTAATACTGATGGCTGTTACTCTCACTGCATTTTCTTTTAATCCACAGGGATTATGCTTTTTTGCTCTTGCTATTAATTTTATTTAGGAAAAAGAAAAGCCCTCACACAAGCCCTTGCCTTTTAAAAAGGCCCTTTCAAAATTATTTACTCATTAAACCCCACAGAGCCGTAGGGATTCAGAAGGATCACACACTTGGCTCTGCTCTGTGGCCCTTCCCACAAACAGTGAATTGGTCCTACAGAGAAGTTGGCTTCAGTTGGTTTTTTTCTGACCTGCTGATGTTTGGCACCTCATCTGATTGATCCAAAACAAAGTTCTTCCCGTACAGAAAAATCTGGGCAAAGTCACTGGTGACTCCTAAGCAGATATCAGTCCTGGGGGGTGTCTCACAGGGTTTCCCCAGCAAGACAGTGCTGTCATCCCCCATGCCCAGCTGCCAGGGCAGCTGACTGGCTGCAGAGTGTTGACACCAGGGTCACATCTCTGGATTTGTTGACTCTGTCCTCCCAGCTGTCTCTCCTCGAGGAGAGAGGAGGCTGCTTTACAGTCCTAAAGGCTTTACAGATTCCTGAAGCCTTTCAAATCAGTGCGCTTTGCCAGAAAACATATTTTCAGATACACGGGCCCCATTTTCCACCCAGACAGATAAACGTGCAGCTTGCAGCCCTGCGTTTCCAGGCTGACCAGGCACCCATGACACTCTGCTTTCTCCTGGGCAGGAGTACAAGCGCAAGCAGCTGGAGGAGCAGCGGCAGGCAGAGAGGCTGCAGAGGCAGCTCCAGCAGGAACGGGACTACCTGGTGTCCCTGCAGCAGCAGCAGCAGCAGCAGAGGCAGGACCAGAGGCCAGCAGAGAAGAAGCCCCTCTACCATTACAAAGAAGGGATAAATGCCAGCGAGAAGCCAGCCTGGGCCAAGGAGGTAGGCGAGAGAAGGGAAGCGCAGCAGTGCTTGGCTGTATCCGTAGGGCTGGGTGTGTGGTTTGGTCCAAAATACATCCAGCAGATTGTGCTCTGCTGCCTCAGCCTCCAGCAGATGCCATTAGCTGTGCTGGAAACATGCCCAATTCCACGCAGCATCTGCATGTTGGTGCAGGCAAGGAGGGTGGAGGAAGGAGGGTTTTCTGTGATGGCATGCAAGGAGGAGGATGGAGCCCTCCTGGAGGGGATCCTCCTGAGCTCCTGATGTTCCTTCTCGGCGTGTCCGCAAGTGTGCTGGGGTTCAGGGGTGAATGCAGGGGGTGGATGTAGCAGGGCTCTGCTGAGCACTAGTCCAGTTCACCGTAGTCAAGCAGGGATCAGACACCTTCTCCTCCTGTGCTCCAGGCTGTATCTCTTGGGGTTGCTCTTTCATGATTCTCAGGAAGGCGAGCCACATTGCTGATGTTTCTTTTTCTCTCCAGCAGAAAGAGGGAATTGTTGTAACAATTGTGAGATCTTGAATATTAATTATTGCCTGTCTGAACAGTCTTGGAAAGATGAAGACACACTTTGTCTGCAGTGTGGTTTCAGGATCCTGTGCAGACTCTTTCTCCTTAAATCTCTTCGTGGTGGCTCCAGTAAGACTGGTCCTCACTTTCGCTATTAGTTTTTGTGAAATTCTTTGTGTTTAGTTGGTTTAATTTTGTAACCCTACTCCTGGGCAGAAAGATCTTTTGATAGCTTGCCTATTCTTCTTACTAAGCAGAATCACTGCTCTGCTGACAGATGTCTGGCACACTTTAGTCCTGGCAGAGATGTGATGTGCATCCAACATGTAGCTTTCTCCTGGTCTTTCCTCTTGGCAGCCCTCAGCTGCGTCCACAATACCTGCAAGCATCAAATGCTCAAGAAATTCAGTCCCTTGCTAAGCAAAGGCCAATAATGCAAACAGTTCCTTGCCTTTCTAAACCATCACAGACATAGCTGTGGATAACAAAACCTTTTTTTCACCTCTTTAATACTCCCTTGGGTTCTTTTCCAATTTAGTCTTCAGAGGCTTTTGGTGGTGACATGCCAGATGACAGATTTTCATGCAGCATCATTCTCCAGCCTTTCCAGTGCGAGGAGAGGTTTGGTACGTGGTTCTGCAGATGAGGTGTTCCAGATGTATTGAGCCACCTCTGACAGGAGAGACTGCCACCTGGATGGTGCTTCTGCAGTGTTGTGCAGAACTGGATCTCTCTTGTCCACCTGCAAAAGTGCTGAGAGTAGGTAGGAAGCAGGAAAAAAGGGACTAAATGCTGTCCTTCATTGCCTGGTTTAAAATAAATCCTCTAGGATGTTGCTAAAGTACCTTTGGCACTGTCTTCAAAATAGTAACAAAGATATATAAAAAGGAATCTTATTCTTTATCTGAGGTGAAGGAGAAAAGTGCTGGATTTAGCTTTCCATTTCAAACACAAAGGCCCATTTCTTCTTTTCCATGGGGGGAGGAGTTTTTTGATGCCATCACTGGAAGCAGGGCGTTGGGAACTGTGCAGTGTGAATAAGAGCAGCAGAATGTGGCCTCAGTCATAGGGGAGATGAGGTTTTCTGTTGCTGGGGAACATCTCCAGCTCCAAACCATTTGTTCTTTACGTGTGTCACTGTGGTTTCTAATTAAATGCTCCAAGCAGCAAGTGTGGCATCTTTCTGCTGTTGGGATCAGTAGTTTGGTGTCTTGCCTTGCCACAGCATCATAGAGAACTTCCCAAAACTGTTCCTCTTCCCTCCATCCCGTTTTATCTACTGCACAGTCCCACTTTTAGCACAGTTCAGGTACTTTTCTGCATATATTGAGGTATCATCCTTGCTAGCTATACAGGTAGATTTGCACTGATACTTAATCAGCCTACTGTGGGTCTTGCAAGTGCCACACCCAGCCCATGCATGCTAATTTAAGAGAAGTACTGAGACTTTGTCTTCCTTTGGGAATAAGGAAAAGACAAGTCTGGTGCTCAGCCTCCAGTTTCTGGAAGCTCTGCAGCACTTGCTGGTATACTTGATGGGGATTTTGCATGATATCTCATACCATCCTTGTTTTTATGCTCTTGGGTCTCAAGTCTTTTCTCTCAGGAGCTGGATCACCACAGCTGAGTTCTCCTTGCACTGTGTCTCTCTCTGCTTTTCATACCTCTGCTTTATGCACTTACTTCCCCACCTCACTCATCCTCATGTGGTGACTCCAAAGGATGGACCTGCTGGTGAAGACAAAGCTCTGGGTTAGGAGCCAGGCTGTGCTACATCTTTCATAGCTTCCCTGGAGCATGGTCAAGGGTTTCTCTTTTTCATGCTAAACAAACCAGCCTGATCAAATAGCCATAGAATCATAGAATGGGTTGGGTTGAAAGGGACATTAAAGATCATCTGGTTCTAACCCCCCTGCCACCGGCAGGGACACCTCCCACTAGTGCAGGTTGTTCAAAGTCCCTGGCAACACACATGGATGCACATGCCCAGAGCTTCCCAAGGGCTCTAGGCTAGGCTGTGTGTTGGGAGCTGTGCTGGTCTCTACAGCAGCCAATGCACACGTGAGTTCCTCCTTCAGTCCCCGTGGCTTGTACCCTTCCCTCACTTTGAAGTGATGCATTAAAACATTAGCAGCCTTCCACTGGGACCTGCACAGAACCTGTTAACGATGTTTCCTGTTTGAGGGGAATCTTGAGTTCAGTTAGAGATGGCTTGCACTGAAGCAGTGATGAATTCCTTCTGGGTTTTGCTGCTTTTTCCCACTCTTTGTCTAACGCTGGAGTCGGGAAGGCTCCATGAAGTACAGCTGGAGAGTCCCAGGAGCATCCTCTGCTGTGCTGGTGCAACAAAGTGCTGGAGAGGAGACGCCAGCAATGGGAAACCTGCCTTTCTCCTTCCCAATACACAGACATCCCCAGTTCATTACTCTCCTGCCTTCTCCAGGCAAGCATTGACATCCTCCATAATTAGCGGCACATTATGGCTTGGCAGCGTGCTGAGAGCGCCTGCAAACAGCCTGAGGACTCGGTGCTGCTGTCACCGGAGCCTGGGCTTGGCTGGTAAGGAGAGGTGCTGGACCCAGCCTGCGACCCAGTGCTCCTGCTGTTGGTCCCTTGTTCAGAGGGAGTTCTTCTCACTGTGCTCTCCTTCCCATCCTTGTGCTGGCTCCTGTGGGCATGGCTGGCATGAGCTCTCTGTAGCCTCTGCGAGCCAGTGGCCAGCGCTTGAGGATGTCTTGACGACATCTTAGGACACTGCAGTGGCCCACTGCAGTGGCTTCATGAATTACAAAGGAAAGAGTCTGTAACACAGGTCCCTTGCCTAAAGTCTACTCTTGACTCCTGTTCAGTATCTGAAAGAGGAAAAGATTGATTTTTATTAATAGAATGGCTCTTTTGTTTGATGAGTATTTATTTACTTAAAGAAGAGCTGTGGTTCTGTCCAAGCAAACCTGTTTCAAAGATTTCCTTTTAACATGACATTGTAGGTGGTGGAATCAAGACATGCTAAGGGTATTTAACAAGTCAGTGATACATAAACGAAAATACACATCAGATTGTCAGAAACTCTGCATGGCATATGCTGCATGAATATCAATGCACACAGTCTAATGCAGGAGCACCCAGACTGCTCACATGTCTGGGTTAGCTGAAGCCACTGCACTCCCTTCAAGGGTAGCTCAAAGCAGTGGGCTTTGGGTTTATTTCTCTATCAGTAACAGAGGTTTTTCCACTTCCATACATGACAAGGTGCCAGAGTGACTAGATCTAGATCAAAGCCAGCCATTTTCTGGCTGCTGCGTTTGTTCTTTTCTTCAGATCAAACAAAAGCACTCCTCGTGGTGTTGCTGGTAGTGAAGGAAAAGGCTATCCTTACTTAAAGATATGTTTAAGAAGAAGCAAGAGCTTCTTGGGAGTCATCTTCTAGAAACACCTCTCTGAGGCGTGTTGACTTTTTCTTTATTCTTTCCCTTTCATATTCAGGAATGAATGAGGTGCATAAATACAAGCAGTGCTTCCGGTGTCTTTAAAATGCGTCTCCTGTGCAATCTGCTGGGTAAGGTGGATTCCACGGTCGTACAACACGCATGATAAAGAGAAAAGAGCATCCAATAGATACATACCTAGACGTGCAGGCCTTGGTTTTCCCTGGGGAACGGCTTTTTTGGGGCGCTCACCCTGGTCCGGTCTCGCTGCAGGTGGAGGAGCGCTCCCGGCTCAATCGCCAGAGCTCGCCGGCCATGCCCCACAAGGTGGCCAACAGGATTTCTGACCCCAACCTGCCTCCTCGGTCGGAGTCTTTCAGCATTAGTGGTGTGCAGCCGGCCCGGACCCCACCCCTGCTCCGACCCGTGGACCCACAGGTAATGAGCTTCCCCGGAGCCAGGATGCTGGGAATACTGGTAAGATAACAAGAAACAGAGTGGATTAAAGGGAAATGTAGTGTCTTGCTCCCTGGTTTCTCAGCCTTGAGTGTATTTGTGAGGAAGAGCAGCATCTACATTCATGAGTGGATTCTTCTTGTCACCTCCATGTGTTAGAAACATCACACTGGTTTATACCTTCCTTTGAAGCATCACGTCCTAGTTGCTGCCAGAAACAAGCAGGAGGACCAAGAGGAACTGCTGGTCTGGTCCAGTGCAGCAGTTGCTCTGTTCCTCTTCAGATCTGGTTTATGTAAAGGACTAAAACCCCAGCGCCTGGTACAAAAGTCTCAGGACGCTTTGGTGCTGAGGATCATCAGAAAGAGGTTTTTCTTTCTTTGCTGCTTTAATTCAAGGTTTTGTTTTGGTTTTCCATTGAGTTGACATCAGTCACAAACACATCTGGACAGGGCATAGATCACCATGACCATCACAGAGGAGGGGTTTCCTCGTTTTAAAAGTTCCTCCCAGTCAGGAGGTCTGTGAGTACTCTGCCACAGAAGGCTGTAGGAGTGTTGATGCTGGCTCTGATCCAGCCCCTGCAATTGCTCCTGCAGATCCACAGACTCCAGCAGGGATTTCAGAGGGAAGTACAAAGCCTTTGCTCCAGGTCCAGCTGGGCTTTCTGTGGGAAAATGTGCCAGTTACGTGCCATGGTATGCACGTCTGTAGGACAGCAGTAAAGTGCCAGCTTTAAACAAAATATGTGCAGAAAAGCCCTTAAACATACAGCTCTTTTTTTCCCAGTGTACATGGCCTATATATCTTAGGAGGTGGGTAAAGCCCCACTTCACTGTAATCTCTATGACTGACCAAATATTTTTCTGTGACCTTTTTGGCAACCTGTATCGTCAACAGCTACAAAGACCTTTGTTTGCTAATAAAATAATAATGACAAAGTTGTTTGAACCCCAGAGAGCCGTGTGGATATGTGTGTGTGTACCCATGTACTCATGATACGTGTACATACATGGAGGTAGAAATGTCAAATGACAGTTACAGCCCCATTGTATAAGAGAAGTGCAGCTTCACAGGGGCCTTGGAAGAAGCTCTGATTTCACAAACCCTTAACTCTGTGAATTTCTGAGATTTTCCCAGACAGAGGTCAGTATTCCTTTCACTCATAATCTTTAGATCAATAGGGCTGATCCACAGGATAGGGGCTACCTAGGCCTATACAAACTCATGCCTCAAGATACTTTATTTTTAAGCCATCTCTGCCTCAGAATTCCTGACAATTTTTTTTTATCAATTATTATTTATTATCGTTTCCTTATCTTTTTTTTTTTTTTTTTTTTTTTCATTTTTAACAGGGAAAATCCATGCCAAACCTCATTAGCAGAACCGTAGAGGTGCAGGCGTAGGAGCTGGAAATTGGGCAAGCAGAGCCCGGGGTGGGCATGGTGTGTGGGGGAGCTGGCAGGAGGGGACAGCCTGCCCACGCTCCTGCCCCTGTCCCCAAGGTGGTACCCACCGGATGGCCCGGGGCTGGCAGAACGAGCTGTAGCACCCTGAGCACGCAGGAGGGGCCAGGGCTGGAGAGTGACATTGCCCAATTTTAAAAGGCTGAGCTGTGCGAGCATACTTTTTGATAGATCTTGCATTGAAGTGGTATAAGTCAGAAGTTCCTGAAACCGAGGCAGTGCTGATCTCAAACCGAGGGGGCTTTTTAGTGCATCCGAAGTGCTAATCAAAATCATTTTTTTAAAAAAATCAATTTTTTAAATTTCTTTTTTGATTCCTTTTTTTTTTTTACTGATAGTTGTGTTTTGACTTGGTGCTTAGATTCCACATCTGGTCACTGTGAAATCCCAAGGAAGCTCCTTGTCTGGGTCTCAGTCACTGCATGAACAGCCTGCAAAGGGACTGGCTGGGTTTCAGGAGGCTCTGACGGTGACCTCTCACCGCACTGAGATGCCAAGGCAGAACTCGGACCCCACCTCAGAAAACCCTCCTCTGCCCCCTCGCATTGAAAAGTTTGACCGAAGTTCTTGGTTACGGCAGGAGGAAGACATTCCACCAAAGGTAACACTACCGCTCCTCACTTTCAGCACATCAAAGAAGCAGTCCCAGAGCTCAGCACCTCCAGCAAGGACGAGTGGGCAGGTCCGAGCCCATCCCGGTGGCTGCGTGGCAAGTAGCCACCTGCCCAGGGGCTGCATTTCCCCAGGCAGGTTTAGCACAAGGTGCTGGGAGCTGCTCTCGGGTGCACACACAGAACTGCAAAATAGCATCATCCTCCAGCAAAGAAAGTTCTCGAGCCTGGACAGAGGCCAAAATAAATTAATATCTTCTTTCTCTAAGATAAAAAACAACCTTCTGTTTAAATAGAATTATAGGAACATAAAATTTGTCATACTCAATAAGACGGGTCCTTTTTAGTCTGGTACTGTGCCTCCAGTTGCAATCAATATTGATGGAAGGCTTGTAAGGGCTCCAGGAGCTTTATACATTCATTGGCATTTTGGCAGCGTCTGGCAGAGCCTCTTAATTAAGACTCTTCTGGACCAGTGTTTCGATCACATTGTTTATACACCTTCATTTTGGAAGAATTATAACTTAGTCATTAAAGATGCCCTTACAGTGAATCGGTGCTGAGCCTGCAAAGATGTTTTTCACTGAAAAAAAGGATGACAAATTGGTCAGTGACAGCAAGGCAGTATTTGTCCCTCAGCAAGAGGCAGTTTTTCTAAGTATTAGCAAAATAAGTGGCCTGTCTTTTTAAAAGCAAAACACCAGCTACCAGGTAGGCCTCCCTGAGTGAGGGATCTGTGATGGTCTGTCACACGTGCTAATAATGTTCCTATTTCTGGTACCACCCCATGCAAGAGGAGACATCAGTGCTCACCTAAGAGGAAAAGCAAGCCCGCGGCTCCTGGAGCTGTTTGTATGCTTTGCTACTCAGTAGTGCAGGAGGGTGCCTGGTTTTAACCTAATTTTGAAAAACTTGCACTTTCACGTTGGCTTTTGACTTGAGTCTGTTGAGAAGGGCATCTCTTAACTGCAGGGATGTGCAACACGGTGAGACCACGGCACCTCCTCCTTGGAAAAAAAAAGCTGGTTTTCAGCACTGGGGAGTATTTCCCCCCTTGGCTTGAGAGAACATGAGTTCTGGAAGGTGTCACCACCAGACCCCATTTAAGGCTGTTGTGTGGACAGTAACATACCCTTGAGGAGTCCGACTTGACACATTACTACCTGAAGCGGGTTTGATGTGTTTGTAAGCAGGAACGAAAGGACTGCCCCATGAGGCAGGGCTGGCTGACTCTGCGGTCCAGGGTCTTGTTTCTGCCAATGCTTGTGGCTGGATGCTTCAGAGGAAGGTAAAAATACTCCCCGAGTCCCAACTGCAGAGTACCCTCCCCGGAGGGGAGATGGCTTTTTAATGAGACAAGCTGTAGCTAGCGATGCCACAGAATAGAAAGCTTGCTCTCTCTATGTATCTTTTTATCTCGCCTAACATAACCATGTGTTTATTCTTCAAAAAAAATGCCTCATCCGTTTCTTTTGCCCTCTGTTAATCTGGTGCAAGGTACTGCATGGTGAGTATCATCGTGCCTGTCCATGGAGGTGAGCCCACCGTGCCTGCGGCCCAGGCGATGCCCGTGGTCCCACGGGACAAGGCAGGGCTCCAGGGTTACCCTCCGTAGCACCCGTAGGCTGTGGTTGGCTTTGGGGTTCTGCTGCTGCTGGTGGTGAGCTGTCCTGCTGGCAGCAGGGTTTTGGCAGAGGCATCTGAAGCTCCACGAAGGTCATAGTGTTTAATGAGGGTGTTAGGTGGATCTGTCTGAATGTTTCCACTGTCAGTCCTCTTGTTTGCCCACCAGTCAACACCTTTTCTCTGCTGGTGTGTTATATACTCATATAACAATATTCAGTTCAGTTTTGGGACCCTGGAAGGTGAAGGTGTAAAGAAGGACATCAGGGTGCTGGAGCGTGTCCAAAGATGGCGAACAAAGCTGGTGAAGGGTCTAGAGAACAAGTCTTATCTGGAGTGGCTGAGGGACCTGGGGTTGTTTGGCCTGGAGAAAAGGAGGCTCAGGGGAGACCTTCTTGTTCTCTACAACTACCTGAAAGTGAATTGGGTGTTGATCTCTTCTCCCGAGTAACAAGTGATAGGACAAGAAGAAATGGCCTCAAATTGCGCCATGGGAGGTTTAGGTTGGACATTGTGAAAAATTTCATCACTGAAAGGGTTGTCAAAACTCTGCACCAGGCTGCCCATGGGTGTGGTGGAGTCCCCATCCCTGGGGGTATTTAAAAGACACGTAGATGAGGTGCCAAGAGACATGGGCTAGTGGTGCCCTGGCAGTGCTGGGTTAACAGCTGGACTTGGTGATCTTGAACGTCTTTCCCAACCAGAACAATTCCGTGATTCTGTATCTGAACTAGACATGCTAATGACACCGCTGTGGCTGCTGAAATGCACTTCAGTCTGAATTTTGTCTTAAAAATCACTTTTCTGGGTTTTGTTGGATTTGATTTATATACGTGTGCGTGCGTGCGCGCGCGTGTGTGTGTGTACACTCGTCTTTAAAAAAGTGAGTGCCCTGCTTGATGGCAGCGGGACTGCTGTGTCCTGCCCGGAGCTCCTCTGCCAAGAGCATCCTTGAGCTCACAGTGGCAGCTCATTTCTCTCTCACACTCGGGCAGTTCCTCCTGAAAACCATGAGTTTTGTGGTTTATAATTGCTATCAACATTGCCTATCTCACAGCGGGAAATCGGTTGTAGGTCGGGTCTTAGGGCAGTGCTGGCAGGTGGTCCTCTGGCTGCCTGTCGTGGTGGGGTGGTGGCATGTGTCTCCATTCTTTTCCAGGTGCCTCAACGAACCACTTCCATATCCCCTGCTCTGGCAAGGAAGAACTCCCCGGGCAACGGCAGCGCCCTGGGGCCCCGACTGGGCTCCCAGCCCATTCGGGCAAGGTAGGACACTGAGGGGGACGGGTCGGAGTGACCCCTGGGTGCTGCTGCCTGTGGTCCTCCTGGCATCGCCTGGCTGGGGAGCCCAAACACGGGCTGGGGTTTAGCCCTGCTTTTGCTGGCTGGGAACACGAGGAGATGTGCAGTGCTTCTCTTGTCGCTGGTGTAAACTTGGGCGTTCCTGGGTATTTTGTACCAAGAGCAGAGGCTGGGAGCACTTGTGTCCCTGGAGGCTTTGCTCCCTGGCCTGATACCTCCCTGCGCATGGCAGGGCTTGGGGGTGGACGCTGCATCTGCTGCTGTGGGGCCAAACGGGAATTTGGGTGCTCTTTAATGGAATTAGACTCTGGTTCTCCCAGTGTCACCTTTTGTGAGTAAAGGGGTCTATATAAAGCTAGTGGGAGGATCCGCTGGGATCCATCACAGCCAGGGATACATAGCATCCATTTCGTACACATCAGAGCAGCTTTTCACAGAAAACAACCAATATTCTGGGGGACAGACACTGATAGAGCTTGGTGAGATCTTCCTTAGATGTAGGTCAAGGATTAAATTCCTTTCCAATTCCTTCCACAAGGCCTGGAGCTTAGCCAGATCCAGCTCTCTGGCATGGCAGCGTGCAGGATGAGCTCATAGCAGCCCGAGGAAGGATCCTGCACCACAGTAGTGGTCCCATCCATCTCTGCCATGTCAGAGCCATCCCTGGGCACATTTAGAACGAGCAGGGAAGCTGACAGGCTCTGCTCGGAGCTGGATGGAAGAATCACGGCTTAGTCATGCGAGAGCTTCTCTGGTTTGCAGAGCATCGTGGGCAGATCTAGACCTCAGGCAGGCAAACCTCAGGGTAAATACACATTCCATGTAGCCTTGTGTGATGAAGCTCCTGGGGTTCTTCTTCCTGACTTGCCTTTCAGGTGAGGGCAGGAAGCAAACGCTGGGATGTTCCCCAGTTCCCCATACACCTTCCTTTCTAGCCCAGTGCTCCAGCTGTGCACCAGTAAACTTGTGTACAGTGGGAAGCAGCTGAGAGGAGCTGGCAGGGGTAGCAGGAGGAGGAGGGGAAGCTTTGTTGTTGTTGTTTAAAATTGGACAAAAAACATTGGTATCATGGTTGGCTTCTTTTTATTGCTGAAGGCTGAAGTGGTTTTAATTCTTGAAAATGTTGGTTTAATTAGCTGTGGCTTGAAGGACAATTTAAAACAGGGAGGGATGTTGAACTGCATGGTCCTAGTAAGTGACAATACTGGAAGTAAAAAGAATGAGGGGAGCCTGGGATACAAGCTGGAGGCTTCCTGGTGTTCCCTGCAGCCTCCTGGTCTCAGTCCTGGTCGGTACAGATAAATACACTAGTCACCAAAGTTTCCAAATACATTTCTTGAGTTAATTTAGCTAGCGACATGTCAGCCATACAGCATGAGCTGGAGGTATTCAGTTTGATGAAAGCTGGGAATTATTAGGATGCTACCCTGTCCACTAAACATAAGTATTCAAGTGAAATTATTTCATATTTCATTTCTCTCACAGTAATGTAACGTTTCTCCAGTTTTCCTTTTTAACCACCTGTCCTACTGATTCTTGATTCCTCCCATGCATAAGTGTAAATATTATTAAAATATGCTTTTTATTATTTGTCAGCCTGTTGTAGCAAACAAGGGGCTGTTTCCCTGCACACAGCAAGTTACTGTCTTCCTGTCAACGTTTTAATACCCACCTGTGTCAGCGCAAGATAACACTAGGCAGGGATTTTGTATAATATCCGTGCTGGGCAGGGTCCAAACAGTTCTGCCAAGGACCCCATGAAGGCAACAGACCTTTGGTGGTTCTCCGAGGGACACATCGTGTGCACCCCACAGACCTTGCACTTCATATGCAGAGCCTCTGATGGCAATCACATCGTGTCATGTGGCACTATGACAGTGTCATTTTTATGTCAGCAAAGTTCTAATTGGACTTGGTGGAAAAGGCTTTCTATACACTTTGAACAGGACTTGGAAGAATAAGATCGCTTAACAGAAATATTGTCTAAAACCAAATTGCACAGCTCTATATGAACGTGTCTTCTGATGTCATTTCAATGCCAAATAATTAATTTCCTACAGGCATTTGATACCCAGAGAGGTATTAGTCACTCCTTGTGCATCAAGGACACTTTTTATTCTTGTTTTATCTGTGTTCACAAGGTCAGAGAAATCAAGGAAGAAGAGTGCCTGTTTGAAGTGAAGTTATGAAAATTGGAAGTGTGAATAAGTGGTAAAAGTGATCTGCAGCCTTGATGCAAACTTGAGATCCTTTCTTTGCTGAAATACTTCTTTCTCTGTCTAACAGGGATT